ACACAAGTCCATTTTCATTTCAGTAAATATTTAAAGACCTACTTCACATTTATTTGCGGCTGAGAATGTCACATTAAGAACGTATATTGTAAAAGAAGGACTGAACCTTTTGTCTGATTATCTTTTCTACGATAAAATTTTAGTATACTGTCCTTGTCACTATACACTCTCTCCTGTTTACATGTTATTTTATTTCATTCCTTTGAGTTCCGAGAGGGACGTAAGGCTTCAAGCCTGAGCTATGAAGTTCCAGTAGCAATGGTGTTTTTAACAGGGTGAGGTTGCTAAACTCACACTCAGCCTTCCCTTTTTATCGTGTTTTCAGCTGGCCAATGGTTATGAAGGCATGCCCTGGCCAGGGGTCGAACTCTGGACCGCGTGAATGGTTGCCGAGAACCCTAAAGCTGAACCACCAACACTTGATTATCTTCTGTTAGACTCACAAATCTTAACCCTGTGATGCTAAATGCCTTAAAATTTATAATCTGCCAATTCTACTGATTATGTTACTATTTACTAATTCATAAGCCATGCAGTTGAGTTATAAATGAAGACTGATAAAATAGGTCTTGGGTTCTGAAAATTTACGTCGTAAACTCGAGACTAAGTACTTCATGACATTCATCGTTGAACTAAAATGACAGCTCCACTTATACAACCGGACAGAACAAAAAATCTCTCATAATTCAAATCATTGGTTCCACAAAATAAAATTAAGGCATATCCAACCATGGTTACAAAATCAGATACATCAATTTAAGAATCCAATTAGTGTTTACATGTGATTTTTAACAGGAATTTGAAGACACTCAATAACTTCGATGATCCAATGAAAATGAAATAGATTTCACCACCGTGTAACATCAATTGCAGATCCACTTGGAATTAGGCAGTACTGGACAGCTTTTCCGTCCTAGTTTGTAGGTGAGCTTTATTTCACCAAGTTTCAGATTTACAACCTCTATGTCACTATGCAAACACGTTGTCATTCGAACAATGAGCCAAAATTTAAAAGTTCATGAATTTTCGACTTTGCTAATACTCAATATACATTGCCAACGCCAATAAACTCTTGCCAGGTGGCTAGCTGCAGTGTATTCATCTCCTAAACTGAAGATCACTAGATGATTCATGGATACTCGCTATTACAAAGCCTCAGACTAAGAAGAAACAGCTACCCTGCGTCTACTGAGATTTCAATAGTCTTCCGATTAATTTTTGGTTCAAATGAAATTTAATCCTAACTGCCCAACACATGAAAATGAATCCCAGAGGAATTTTAAAACGTGCAGTAGAACTCGTGAGTATTTATTTTTTCTAATATTTAAGTGAAGATAGATGAACATTTTATGAATATTTTTAGATTATACCTGTTAATGTGTAGGTTGAAGTGACAATCATAGTCTGTTCACTTATATTTTGCTTTTATCCCTCGCATTCCTATTGCTTTTTTGTGGTGTTGCTTTTACTAGGTGGATTGCTAGCCTCATGCTCAACCTTCCTTATCTTCTGAGCCTACTGTTGGCTAGTGCACTAATGGCCATCAATAGAACTCGAATCGTTTGCGTGGGTGTCGTGCATTCTATCATTGAGCCACTGACATACTTAGGCATAAAATAGTCTTTACTAGTCTTAAACGAACATTTTATAGACAGGTATAAGTGCTTGCATAACTAAGTATCACCACTGATGAACAATCAATAAATGTTTAGTAAATGACACTAGAAAGATGATTAACAGAAGATATAAGCTAAACTGTTGAAAAAAACAAATGTTTTCCTTCCGTTACAGTCATTTGTTGTTGTCGTTGTTGTCGGTTTTCTTGAAAAGCTTAACATTGATTACTGATAAAAAGTTTTTATCAATATGATTAAACAAATTTCTAACACAACTTTTGTTCTTAGACCTATGACTGATAAGTAGGGTTGAGCAGTCAACATAACAGATAACATATTGTCATTATTTTCATGTTTCCTGTATCTGAAACTCAGGAACACTAACTAATCATGTACAGATAGATTTAGGGGTTAAAATTTCATATACATACTTACTATTGTATAATTTAAGGGCATTATTAATCAGGGTTGCTACCGTCCTTTAGCTTTGTCTGTCGAAAGACAGTCACACTAGAAGACACACACAGATTTATTAAAACATACTACTCACAGTACAAACTATCAGTTTTTATCTTGAAATCAGAGGGGAACATTTTTCAAACAAGTAAACTATTGAAATTTGAGTATATATGACAAGTTAGATCTTATATCTTCATTAGTTCTACTCAGAAATAAACTTCACACTTGAAACTATTATCCCCAGTATTTCACAATGTCAAATTAACTATTTTTATAAACCTTTCTATTAAATGATGTCGGTACACAACAGGTCAGATTGTTACAAATGATAGGCTTCCAAAGCTGCTAAAGGTGTCATAGTGTCTGTGTATATCAGAAGTGATGAATGGACAGATAGAATGCTTTTCAAGGATTCAGTTGCTTGTTTAAAATGATATCAAACTACACAGTAATAAATCAGCTTTCTTCATTTATTATTTCTCATCATGTTTACTAGACATTTTAAACCATCTTCTCGACTAAAGAGATAATTTTGCATTGGCATTGTTATGAGATATTATTTGAAGCATATTTTCTCACGGCTTTTTAACTTTTTGTATCAAAAAGTAGTATAATGTGATACAAGAAAGCCTATTGTTGTGTTGAATTCTAACATTGTGATAAACTTAAGTAGTTATGATGTTTCACAGTTATGTATTTGATGTTATCACCTTTCGATTGTTACACTTGATGACGGTATTTGTAACGTCTGCTTAATTCTCATCAAAAGCTTATTAGTTAGGTAGCAGGGCTTAACCGTATTCAAGTAACATTTTCAAATATTTGTCAGGTATGACAGAAAGAATTTGCAGAATATTATGCCATATCCCTGGGAATCAGCCTACCGAAATACATCAGTAGTCATGTAACTTTTTTTGATTATTCCTTGATTCCACACCATATTTTTGGTACAAGTATGGAATTTTCAGTATGTAATATCAGTAGCCCAAATTTTGCATGCCGACCATTTATATCAGGTGTACGTCGTCAGGGGATCACACCCCGGACTATGTGCATAGTCGGCGAGGGTCCTAACCGCTGTGCCACCGACGCAGAAATAAAATTCAGTCAGCCAAACGATCAGCTAAAAATTAGACTTAATGTGACAATGAATTTCTCTGGTTGCTTTATGATAACAAATTAGACTAGTGAATTTCATGAAGTACTGTATAACATTTATTAGAAAGACAACATATACTTCCATATCAAGAAAAAGAAATTATTTGGACTCAATTCTGACAAAATGAACTGTTTTAAAAGGAAACATTTCAGGAGATTAATAAAATTTTCACTATTTTAAAGTTGAATAATGCTTTAAGATAAAACGACTGTCATGAAAACACCTGTAACCTCTTGAAGTAGTGTTCTGATTGACTGATTTTGTTGGGGGAAGAATAGTTCAGTTCTAGCTGAGAACAGTATAGGCTACTACTGATAAAACCTATTCATAACATTCCTACTGGATAAATTTATCGGCCGACTCGCCTCCTGCCAAGGTTATTTGTGTGTACCATTGCAAAGTAGAAACCATCACCCAGTACTCCTTGGTTGTGACCCAGTAGTAACGACTGGACGTTTGAAACAATGGGAGTTAGGTTCAAATCTCGGTAGAAACACTTTGATTCACTGAAAATACAAGTACATCCTGTCAAAGAGTCTTAAATAGGATAAAAGGTGTGATGTGGATTCGGCTTCTAACCACTGTTCACGAAATAATAAGTAGAGTTATGTTTGTCAATATATGAACGTGTGAACAACTATCTGTGCGTCGTGGATTCATTGGTAGAATATCCACCAACAGAGCAACATATCCGGGTTCAACTGCCGACTGATGGACACATAAACCATACCTAGTTTACCAGCCGGTATTAATCCCGGAAAAGATAGAACGTTGAGTGTAAGGCTAGAAGTCTCACCCCGTAAGACGACACCTGAAGCTTGGTGTTTCAGTCACAACGAGAAGGAATGAAAGTATTCGTAAAATTCGGATTTGTGTCTCAATAGTTTCTAAACTTCCGATGACCAGAAAGAATTAGCAACAGAAACTTCGGCCAAAAACCAATCAACAACTTGTTGCTCAACAATTATACAAAAGATTGAGATGAGTCGGAAAAATGTTGAGAAGACTGCTGAGTGACACGGCACGACCGGCCATAAGTCTAGTGGAACCCCAGATGGGTACTGACGAGTTGGACTGGTGTCCAAAAGTGACCTGGAGGGATTCGTGTGAGGAGAAGGAGAGAGCTTATGGTGAACCATAGAGCCAGCTATAGAGGACTGCATAAAATAAGCTGAAATGGAGATGTTCTATGCCAGCCATATTTTCCACTAAGAAATCAAGGGAATAATAAAATGAAGTCTCTAAAATTCACCAAAGGTTTCAGTTACCTCTAGACTTCTTTTAGAGATCAGTCAGCAATACTTTATACTATTTAACTTCACAAAAAATCACATCTATTTGCTAATGTATACACCAATGTCACACCAATGTGCGTCGGTGGCACAGCGGTAGGATGCTCGCAAATCACTCATGTGGTCCGGGGTTCGGTCCCCGACCAACGTACTACCTTAACTAGCTAAGCCAGTAATAAGACTGGCAAAGACGGAAGGTTGAGCATGAGGCTAGCAACCTCATCCCGTAAAACTAAACACCATCGCTACCAAAACTTCAGGCCTTGCTTGAAGCCATGTGTTCCACTGGGAACATAAAGGAATAAAAAAATAAACAATATGAATTGTTCGGTTTACAATATGGAAGCAATGAATTGCAACTGGTGTAGCACTCCTGTGTTATAAAAATCATGTTTTAAAATCATCATTACATTAGAATATCATTCATTAACAAAATAAAATTGACAAAGAACTTTAAAACCATTAATCACTTACCATAATCCATAAAACATCCAATGATCAACACTGAAATAAACATGTTTAATTTATTTCCATTAATGTGGAGAATACTTCTCCAGCAATGGTCAGTTGTATTACAAAAGACTACAGATCTACGTTTTATGTAGCTGTTTCTATTCATGTTAGCGCTGATTATATAACAATGTGATGATATCGAAGGTTCGTGTTTGTTTGTTTTTTCGTTTGTAAAAATTAGTTTGTTGTTTTTGTTTGTTAATTTCCAATTATCTTGGTTGATCTGTTAAGTTTTTATGTATTGATCGTCTACAGATCACCTTTAACATATTTACAAATATTTTCCTCTTGTGAGATGTATATGTGTAATTGTTTATTCTGTTCGACTCAGATAATTCTCTCTTCTTTTTCACTTAATCTAAAATAATAATTTAAAATTAAACGAAATTATTAGAAAATTGTTCTCTATAAATGAAAAAGTAAGTAGAAATTAAAAATTCGGTAGGGAATACTATTCTGTTTAGATTACAGGATTTGTGGGTACTTGGATTAATTTCACTTGTCATGTTTCGTTATGAACTGATATCAGTTAGAGAGATCGTTGAAAACCGTGGAGCACACTGTCTAGTTGTTAGTCCTTATTTTTTGAGACTTTTCAGTGTTAAAAGTAATAACGAACGGCTTAGCAAAGGGTTTCTTTTTGTGGCGGATTCATACCCTCAGCTGTACAATCACAGTTATATACAATTATTGATATTAGATGGTTGGAGGCAATCGGCAGGAAGCTCTGGACCTAGGTTTCGTGCTAGTTGACACTCACTCACGTCCCTTCTGAGATTCGAATCCACGTCATCCAGTGTTGTAGTTAGAGACGTTACCACTGAGCTATTCGGACTGTATTGGGTACTTTTGATTCGACACTAATTAGTAACTAGTGTAACGTGTCTAATCTTATCTTTGGTGCATAATGGATTCTATCAGTCATACTAGTTACTAATTAGTGTCGAATCAAAAGTACCCAATACAGTCCGAATAGCTCGGTGATAACGTCTCTAACTACAACACTGGATGACGTGGATTTGAATCTCAGAGGGGACGTGAGTTCCTCCAAGGTTGTAGATACGTCTTTTTGACTAGTGAGCGTCAACTAGCACGAAACCTAGGTCCAGAGCTTCCTGCCGATTGCCTCCAATCGTCTAATATCAATAATTCATAGTGCACCGTGGTGACGAACCGCCTGGAATGGTAGTCACACTACAAACTTGACTGATAGAATTTAGTCTGCGCCAAACAGAGAACTAGACATACTACACTAGTTACTAACTGACTTCCAAGCAGAAATATACAGTTATTGTCGTATGTGTACATAACACAAGAATAAAAATTAGTTCGGAGTATTATTTATCTCATCAAAACATTTCAAAAATATGATGAATAACCAGAATTGTAACTAGGGTGCTGAAGATTAGCACGTTTAAACTAAGGTTGCGTAATACGAAAAATGTTCAGGAAAAACGGAATGTTAATGATAAAGCACAGAGATAAATGTCAAAATAAATTATGTAATGGATGGAAGGATTAAATAGACGGTTAGTTAAGAAAATGATGATAATAAATATCATGCGAAAAATGCTCAAAATAGTGTTAATAATATAACATCAATAACAACTGAACTTGAAATTATATCCATGGTAAGTGGAGGGGGTGGGGGAAGTTTCTTCTATGTACACAAATCAGAGTTTTCCTTTAGAACCGTCAACGTCTAGCCTCTGAAAAGTACAGGAAGTATACCATTTTTAAGAAGGCTTCCTTCGACTTTGTAGATAACATTGAATGAACCCTTTTTGCACATTGAATGGCCAGTATTGAATGTATGTTCAGTATGGCACTCCATATTGATCCACTGAAACCCTTCTGTAGCCAGGCAGGATAATGTTTTTTGACTTCTTAGATAAAACGTGCATCAAACGACTTATATATCTCACTCCACAGGAGCAATCAAATTGACAGGTAGAAATGGAAGTGGTTTATCATTAGAGTTAGTGGGAAAAATTGGATGGCAAGAGATTACCAATTGTTATGTAAAAACGAAGAATCTTCTTTTCAAGGCGTTTGATATTCTCTTCTTTAGAGTTCCAGCCAGAAGATCACCTATGAGCGCCACATTTATGTATCACGTGTACTTTGGCACGGAGATTTGGTTTCCTTTGTTGGTTTTGAATTTCTGTATGTTTGTCTATGAAATGTAGAGGATAGCTATTTTCAGTTACTGTCTTTCTCAAAAAATTTATCTCTCTATCTATCAACTCATGGCTGCAGATTCTCTGCATCCTCATCACAGGAAATGCAACTAAGTTTCGCTTGCGACTTATGGGTTTACATCTATAAAAGTTCGTCCATTGGCCGTTGCATGTAGGTTTCTTACATACTGATCTGCTTAATATCCCTTTGGGCTTTGTTAGTTGAACATCCAGAAGGGAGACTGTTTATTCAGTTTCTGCTTCATTTGTGAATTTGATGGTTGGATGGCAACTTTTGAAACTTGTAAGACACTATTCAGGCAGCATTCATTATTACAAATGATAAACGTAACATCGGCACAACTTTTTTTACAGAACAAAGTTGTCGGTAATCTATTTTAGTGGACCAATTTCGAAACTTTCAATGAAAACATCTGCAATAACCCGACCTAATGATCGAACTTGGCAACTTCAGGTTACGAAACCATGCTCGTCGACTATGACTCGATCCCATGAAGGGGGTTGTGGGTGTAGAGTGATGAAAAGTCCTCAAAAATAAGACTTAAAAACGGTCCACTTCTCCTGGTTTTCAGTTATCTCTCTAACTGATGGCAGTTCATGACGAAATCTAAAAATCTAGATACTATTGTAGTTTAAAACACAGAGAAATTAACGAATATGATGTCTCATTTTTCCCAGTAAAACTGACTACAGTACTAGTCTGAGGAAAAAAGTCTTCGTACACGCATGAAATAAACGAAATGAATTTGCAACATTTCCAACGACGGCATTTTATACCTAATTTGGTTTCATCAGGAGTTGGTTAATTCATTTTTACCTACTGATTTCAGGAAATTTTCCTAAAGTCTTTATTGGAAGATATTTTATCCCTTAGTTTTACTTCCAGTCAGAGGGTATGATAAGTGTGTAAATACTTTTAAGGTATTCAAGTGCCCATTACATTACAGTTTACCTAAAATAATAGGTCAGAACAGTGTTTTGTGTTTAACATCAACTCATTTATTTTGTCTATTACGACACTTTTGTGAGAACTTACACATCATAATAATCAAAACGAAAGTATGGTGTAAAACCTGATGGATGTTCTTCTTCACGTGTATTCTTCATTTACATTATCTCTCTGTGAATATCTATTAGGGTTAGTATATTATTACTGTCCCCTCGGGTTCCGATTGGAACATAGGGCTTCAACAACACATCTCAGCTTTGTTCTATTTTCTGCCATCCTCTTCAGCTGGGTCCACGATTGACAATAATCCCTCCTCTCCGCCTCGTCACACGATCTCATCCATGTCATACTCACACCAACGACCCAGTCATCGCTTCCTATTTGGATTCCACTCGAGCTATGGCCTGCATTGTGCACGATGTCATTTGATGGCCTCCTCAACGTATGCCAAATCTGTCTCCAATTTATCCTACATTTTTGTTGAGCGATCGGCTCTCGCCTGTTGGCTTGTTCCCAGCTACAGTTTCTAGTCACTAATTCTTTATGGCCAGCCACCCATTTGGTCTTCAGTATGGAGCCAGAGAATTCAATTAGCTGTTGATAAAAGTCTGCAACCTGTTGGAAATCATTTTCAGGACATGCTGACCAAGTTACTGACCCATATAGAAGAACTGACTGACCTCACATTTGTGTTGAAAATGCGAATTTTGTTCCTTATGCTGAGTGTGGAAGATTTCCAAACTGAGTTCAGGTAGGTGAAGGTGCATGTTGCCTTTCGGATTCTGACTGACTTTGCCATCTTCATCCCTTCCGTCAGCCTCTAATTGAAACGAGGCTGGCTGCGTAGATAAGCGAAGGATGTATTGTCTGTTAAATCTCTCCCTTTGATGATGAGTGGTGCTGGATTTTCTTGTTGTTGTGGTGGTGGTTTGTTGGTCAGTTAGGAGTCGATCTATATTAAACATTAAGGTTCAGTGTAATTTTACTACTCATACACATACAGAATTTAAATAAGCAGGCTTTTCATGATGTACAACTGTGGTAAGTGCTACTTATAATCAGATATAAGTAGCATATCAGTTAACGAATTCAGTAAAGTTACAATTTGCTTTGGTGGACTTGAAAAAGCAATCGAAGAAGAGAACTGTGAGAACATCACAACAGAATCTATCAAGCTATAGAATGTGATGATATTTGACCAATTTGCAAATGATGTGCTAACAAATGAGACTCGTCAAAGCTTAATACTAAATTTACATGATTCTATACCGTAAATAATATTGCCCCACCTAGTTCAAATAGGCCATAAAGCTAGTATTAAAGAAACTTTCTCTATCATCAATCGGATATCGAATAAATTAACAAAGGCCTCTAGATAAAGAAACAACTGAAGCCATTGCAATTCTCTTGAATCGACTTGAGCTCTGTTCGCAAAAGAAACAGGTTCAGTCATTATTACTATGCTGACCTGCTGTTGAAATGATAAATTCATAAATTCTGTATTACTTCCCTTAATTTATCTGAAATTCAGTTTAGTGTTACATTAATATATTATATTTATATTTTTTTTAATATTTTTAATTACAGCTTGATTCCACACCGTATTTTCAGTACAAGTATGGAATTTTCAGCATGGATATCGGTAGCCCAAATTTTGCAGGCCAACCATAGATATCGGGTGTGCGTCGGCAGGGGATCGAACCCCGGACCATGAGCATGGTCGGCGGGAGTCCTAACCGCTGTGCCACCGACGCACACGGTGGTTTTGAAATGTAATCTGTCGATACTAGTGATTTAAGGTAATTTGAAAAGTTATGTTGTTAATAACAATATTCCTTTAACTATTATGGTAGGATGAATGTAGAAAATGATAACGAATTTATCGATTAATTTATCATTAATCAGTCTTCAGTGTGTTGAATAATCCCTGATAAGTCCACGTCAGTTAACAGAAATTCATGCAACATAAATCTATGTGTAAAGCCAGCTTGAAAATTTAAATACGGTAACTTAGAAAGGTGTTCAAGTATCAAGGATATGACTACTTTCAAAGTAAACTTCAAAACCAATCGATAACGACTATAAGAAAAATGGTCAACTAGGAGTCCTGGTTATCTGAGTGATGTTAGCTACAAAATTTTACTTTAATTGTGAATTCACACAAATTAGAAATGATGTATCTTTGATTCCGACGACATTTTTTTATTA